AAAGTAGGGGCCCGCTCTGGCAGGTCGCATTCCTCTGACCAGCCTGCTGTTTCAACCCCAGTCCCGCCGTCCCGCAAGGTCGTCGGCGCGGCCCGCCCGCCAGTCGCCGCTGCCGCGCAGCAGAAGCAGCGCCACACACCTTGACGGCGGCACGCCGCCGTTGGGGCGGCACCAGGGTGGCGCGTATCCGCCGGTGATGCCCGTGATGGCTCCCTGGGCAAGGATGGCCTCCAGCATCTCTGGGCGGGTGAACTGGGGCACGGCGATACAGGGGCGGGGGGAGTGCGAGATGGTGCAACTGTTGTTCAACTGCTCTGTCCCGTGTGGCGGCAGGCGACGGCTGGCCCGTCGCAGGCGCTTTCGTTGCCGATCCATCAGAGTGCCACGGTATATGGGCGCAGCACGCGCAGCGCGACACAGTCCCGGAGGGCGGGGAAGGGCCTTGCCCCCGCGCAGGGGTCCGGGGTGAAAAAAACGCGGGCGCCCGGATGGCGTCGCTGTGCGAGCGCGGCGCGGCCCCGCGCGGCCGCAAAATGTGACAGGATTTGACAATGCACGCGTGAATATGATGGGTCACTGACCTTCACGCCACATCGAGTCCATGCGTCAAAGCCTGAGAGCGCCCTGTCCTTTGACAGCCGGTCGGCCTCTGGTGGCACGTAGGCGGCGAAATCCACCAGGTATGTCGGCATGGTCCCGCCTGATAAGAGGCATGCGTTACAGCGATTAAAGAGGATTAATGGGCCGTTGACGGCCGCCGGGCGCGTCGACGCGCAGGCGCGCGCGCTCGTGGGTGCTCGAAACGCGGCGGGGCGGCGCGCAGGCATGGGCTGCCCTACGTCACATGTAAGCCACACGGCGGCTGGTGGCAAGGGGCGCGCTTGGACAGGTGCTGCCTTTATAAGTCATCGCACCCTCCAGATCCACCGCCCAAGAGGGCTTGATGTCCAAAGTATCGGTCAGTTGCAGATCGGTTGCGCGTGTTGTCTACCACATTGAGCTCTTAGAAACTGGAAATGACATATTGCAATGCACGTATCAACCTACGATTGTTTGACTACACCCTCCGCGGCACCCGCGATCGCGACGAGTGAGCAGTGAGTCGCAGTTGTGTTTCTGGGTGACGGCCAGTGAATCCGTGGCACAATGATTACATATGAAGATCGCGACCACTCTGCGGCCACGTTTCCCACCGCTGGATTTTCTGGGAAGAGGCGTTTCTGCGTGCGTAATTGCCACAGCCTAGCATGTGACGCTAGCCAGCTCCCCCTGTCACTTGTGTCCCGCTGTTGCCAGGATCAATTCAACATCAGACAGCAACTGCTCATCCATGATCAAAATCAAAGGGACACGCAGCCAGGCAATCACCAGGAGGCGCAGTAAGCAACGCCACACCAAAACGCAGTCGCTAATCGTCTTTGATGTTGAGTCACCAGCTTCCTGATTCCCTTACCAACCCCCTCTCCTACGTGATGCCACCTGAAGCACTGCTCAAGCGTGCTGGAATGCAAATCCGCTCTCGCCCCTCGCTGCTGCTGCCGCCCCTCCTGCCTGCCCCGCTGCTGCTGCCACTGCTGCCGCTGCCGCCGCTGCCGCTGCCGCCGACCCGCTGCTGCCGCCAGCACCGATTCTCAAGCTCGTCCCCTGCGCCATGCCTGGTTGCCCGTGATTTGCTGAGTTGGGTGGCCCCTTACGCATCAGCAGCACAGCCCTGGGCCGGCTGCGATGACCCAGCTGCGCACGTGCCCAAACCCTCACCGACCTAACCCCATCGAGCAGTGTCAGCCTGCATGATGCACGACATCCATGACAGCGAGCCCCGATGCGCATGCAAACGTCCCTGGCTGACCTGTTCGCTTTGGGGTGATCTCTTCCTGCACAAAGCAGACGGCGAAACAAACGTAATCGCTTCGCGAGGATTACACCCCGCGTGTCACCATCCCGCCACCCCCCACCGCCGCGCCCGCCTCTGCCCCCGCCGCCGCTGCCGTCTGCTCCCGCGCCGCCGCGCCCCCGACGCCCGCCGCTGGCGCGAGCGCCCCGCTGAAAGCAGACAGCGCCTCGAGGTGCGCGCGGCACGCGCGCGCGCCCTCGGGGATCGCCCTCAGGGTGTCCTCCCAGCAGCTGGGCGGCGCGTCGAGCGCCGCCGCCCAGCCGAGCGCGAGCGCGGCGTGGTCTAAGACCTCCGTGCCGCCCGCTGCCTGCTGCAGCAGTGCGTCAAAATCTGGCTGGTGGGCCGGGTCAACCGGGATGCTCGGCCGCAGCTTGGACGCCCGCAGGCGGTCCGCGATGACGTGCTTCGACTCCACTA